CCTCAGGGAAAGTGGAAAAGATGAAAAGAGGTGTCTTAAGAGACACCTAAAGAAACTGCACAGGAAACCCACCTCTCGTGGCCTTCTCTATTGCCAATAGCACTCTTGCGGGCTTGGAGCTCTCCTCAGAAAATAGGACTCAGACCCTGTAAGATGCTTTATGAACAGCCCTTTCTTACTAATGATCTTGTATTAGACAAGGAAACAGCAAATCTAATACAAGATATCACCTCCTTGGCTAAGTACCAATAGGCTCTTAGAACTTTACCTGAAGGACACCCTAGGGAAAAAGGGAAAGAGCTGTTCTGCCCTGGAGACTTGCTGCTTGTTACCTCTCTCCCCTCAGACTCTCCCTCTCTAGGCTCATCTTGGGAAGGATCAGTTTTGGTTATTCTGTCTACCCCAACGGCAGTTAAGGTGGTGGGAATTGACTCATGGATTCATCACACTCAGCTGAAGCCTTGGGCACCTCCTGAAGAAAATCATAGGCCCTCCACTCCACAGCCTGAAGTTCCCAGAAACGACCCTTCATACACCTGCAAGCTGTTAGAGGATCTACGTTTGCTCTTCCGACAAAATCCCAGGAGAGTCACTGCTTATGAGTCTCATTTACATCCTGGCATTAACAGGACTGTTACTCTTAACTTTGCTGTCTGTAACCGGACTCTCAAACTCCAATTATTCCTTTCATAGTTGGATGGAGAGCGGGGAGCCAGAATAATAGAAAAACTTGGTACTGGCATTAGAAAAGTTACTACCGCTACTCAGTTTTAATATAAGCTATCTCAGGAGGCAAATAATAACATGAAAAAGGCTACTAATTCTCTCTGCCGAGGCAGCTCACTCTGCAGAAACGGCTTAATTCTCTAGCTGCCATAGCTCTTCAAAGTAGAAGGGCCCCAAATCTGCTAACAGCAGAAGGAGAATGAACCTGTCTCTTTCTAGGAAGAGAATGCCGCTACTTTATAAACCAATTAAGTGTTGTCTTAAAGTTAAAAAACTCAGGGATCAATCAAACACAGGGCTAAAGATCTTCAAGAAACAGAATCATAAAGCTTTTTTAACAACTGGCTGTCCTGGTTATATCCTCTCCTAGGCCTGTTTATAACCATTCTATTACTGTTGGCTTCTGGGCTTCTCATCTTTAACCTTTTTGTCACGTTCATTTCTTCTAGAATTAAAACCATAAGGCCACAAATAATCCTGCAAATGGAACCCCGATGTCCTTGGCTCATAAGCTCTATTTTGGACCTCTGGATCAACCTGCACCCCTGAAAGACTCCCCTCTGGAGGAAACCTCAACTGCAGGGCCCCTTCTATGCCCCAATTCAGCAGGAAGTAGCTAAAAAGCAATTGATGCCTGTGTCTCAACAGCAGCTGGACTTTCCTGTTCAGAGGGGGCACTGAGGGACTATGTTAACTTCTCTTCCCGGGTCCACAAGGGGCATGGTTTCAAAGGCAAAAATTTCCCAGCACCATGCCTCCACCCACCTCCCCATCCAGACACCTAGAGTTCTTTGTCTAACTTTCCCACGTGGGCTAGGTAAAATTCCAGGTGTGCTCCTTTGTTTAAAAAGACCACCAAAGGCCCTGGAAGGAGGGGCTCTGTTGTGGGCCAAACAGCCAATCAAATATCGGAGTCAAAGATCAATCACTCCAGAGGAAGTCTGGAAAAGCTCCTCTCACTGGACAAGAACTTGAATGGGGTGGGAGAAACTCCAGGGTTAAAATCCCCCCTACTCCCTTACCTATATGGACTCCATCTCTAGATCCCCTCCCACGACAGTGTGGGAGCTCACACTTTCTCTGTTCTCTATTTCTTTTTCTCTCTCATTGCCTAATAAATCACTTCCTGCAAAACTCTCTGGGTCTGATATTTACTTGAACGAGCTCACCACACCACCAGGTGAGTGAGGCCCAAAGACCTGGGAAAACACACCCAATCGGGAAACAGTAAGCGTCTTTGGGACACCCCCACAGCCCTGCTTCTGTCACCCAGTTACAATGCCGGACAATTTTTAATTTTTTTTTGTAGAGACAGGTCTTGCTATATTTCACAGGATGGTCTTGAACTCCTGGGCTCAAGTGATCCTCCCACTTCAGCCTCCTAAGTAATTGGGACTATAGACGCAAGTCACTATGCCTGGCAAATTTTTTATAGAAACAAGTCTTGCTATGTTTCCCAAGCTGATCTTGAACTCCTGGGCTCAAGCAATCCTCTCACCTTGACCTCCCAAAACATTGAGATTACAAGCATGAGCCACCATGCTAGGCCTCGTTATTATTCTTTAATTGATACTTTTACAGGTGACAGACTGAAAATTCTTACAATGTATATTACAGAAAAACTCTTAACTTCTATGGAGTTCTCTTTTGGACTAATCTGCCTCCTGGATAGGTGCCTTTCTTTCTGTTCTTACTTACGTGGAGAAAACATATCTAGATCAGGGTAGCCTGGAGGCCCATCTCTTTTAGCCCTAGCTCTTAGGTCTCAATGTGTGTAAATGAAATTGGTAATCCATTAAATGCTTCTTGGCAGATGTCCTAGTTTGGGCTGCTATAACAAAAATACCATAGACTGGATGGCTTTAACAACAAATCTCTGTTTTTCATAGTTCTGGAGGCTGCAAAGTCTAAAGATCAAGGTGCTATGTTCTCATTAGGTCCTCGCATGGGAGAAAGGAAATCTTTCGGGTCTCTTTTGTAAGAGCACTAATCCCACTCATAAGGACTGTCCTCTCATGACCTAACCACTTCCCAAAGGCGCTACCTCCAAATACCATCACATCAGGGATTAGGTTTCAGCATAAAAATTTGGGGGTAAAAGGGGTGGGACACAAACATACAGTCTTATTGCAACAGATTATCCTCTCTGATGGTTCCCAAGAGCTCTAGTTGGAAGAATAGAAAGTAGCCCATTTGGCCAAAGGGGCAAGTCCTATTTTACAATTCAACTCTACCAGGAATATTTTATTTCATTTTATTATTTTTTATTTTAATTAATTAATTTATTTATCAAGATGGAGTTTTGCTCTTGTTGCCAAGGCTGGAAAGCAGTGGTGAGACCTTGGCTCACTGCAACCTCCACCTCCTGGGTTCAAGTAATTCTCCTGCCCTCTCTCCCAAGTAGCTGCGATTACAGGCATGCGCCACCACACCCGGCTAATTGTTTGTATTTTTAGTAGAGATGAGGTTTCGTCATGTCGGCCAGGCTGGTCTTGAACTCCTAACCTCAGGTGATCCATCCACCTCGGCCTCCCAAAGTGCTGGGATTACAGGCATGAGCCACTATGCCTGGCCTATTATTTTATTTTATGAGACAGAGTCTCATTCTGTCAGCCAAGCTGGAGTGCAATGGAATAATCATAGCTCACCGTAACCTTGACACAGTAACCTCAAACTCCTGGGCTCATGTGATTCTAACTCAGCCTCCTGTGTAGCTAGGGCTACAGGCATGAGCCACGGTGCCTGTCTTCTATCAGAATTTGTTATCCCCAAACTTGCCCTTCTGTCTTTCTCAACTGTTTCAGAGCCCATAGAGGAAAGAAAAAGCTGGTGATTGGGATTTCTGAAACTGCCAACAAGGACAAAAGCCTGCCAGTTTCCTGAGTAGCAGAGATTCAATTCTCCCGGCTTCTCAATAAGACTCTGGGAAGGTGGCAGTGAGTCAGAGATTACTGGGTAAACATGTACTCCTGGTGGTGCTTGCTGAAGCCTAGGTATTATTAGGACTGATGGTCTAGCTCAGGATAAAATTGCACATAAACTGCAGAACCATCTGACTTTAAGGGACTATGTGAACCAGGACAATAAAATTATCAGCAACAATCATGCTTTACTGAAGACTTGAGTATTCTGCTTGGTTCTGCCTGGATCATATATGTGCCAATCCTCAACTAATAACTATAACCAAGAAACTGTGGGTTGGTAGAGTTAGTCCGTATACATCACATGAAATTAACAATATTGTCACAGAATAGGGAAGAATGGTTTCCCTAAGGGAATGGATGTTATGTGGATAAAAAGAAATAAGTAGTTTCCAGGCATCTTGAGGTCAGGATCCACATAACGTAGTTCCTTATATCTTACACAGTGCGTGGGATGTTGCCGTGACTATGATACCACAGCATATTCTGACTCATCGATACTTTTCTAACTTAATCAATGATTTTTACACAGTTAATTATGTATTTGTGTACCACTTTTCCCTTCTTATATTGGGCTACTTGCATGTTGTAATGAGTCTGAAAAGCTATCCAATACAAAGAAAGGATTTTTGAAATGCATGTAACAGAAGAGCCCTGTCAAATCTCAATGCTATCTTTTAGTAACTCTGTGCTTTTTTTTTTTTTTTTTTTTTTTTTTTGGTGATGGAGTCTCACTCTGTCACCCAGGCTGGAGTGCAGTGGTGCAATCTTGGCCCACTGCAACCTCTGCCTCCTGGGTTTAAGCTCACTGCAACCTCTGCCTCCTGAGCCTCCTCCCTCAGCCTCCTGAGTAGCTGGAATTACAGGCATGTGCCACCACGCCCAGCTCATTTTTGTGTTTTTAGTAGAGGCAGGGTTTCACCATGTTGGTCAGGCTGATCTCGAACTCCTGACCTTGTGATCTGCCCGCCTCGGCCTCCCAAAGTACTGGGATTACAGGTGTGAACCACTGTGCCTGGCCAGTAGCTTTGTATTTTTTTCCAAATTGTTTAACCCATCCAAGTTTATGTTTCCACATCTATAAAGACTGACATTTATGCGATTATAAAAATTAAGAAAGAATTTATATTAAAATATAAACATGTAGACACAATATATGCTCAAACAGTGGTTGCTCTTATTTTTACAGTTTGTTCTTCAGTATTTCTTTGGCAGTATATTTGAGAATATCTTGGTTGGTGAATGAAAGTTATTTGGAAACCATAATATAGATGATCTATTTGTGGTTAATTAAAAGTTGAAGCAGAATACTCTTTAAAAGCATAATTACCCATTTAGTACTGCATTACTTACCTAACTCTATAGTACCACAGAAAGCAAATATGAGAACTGGCCACAAATAAATAGCGTTCTTCTTCTTCCTAAAAGAAAATGCAAAAGAAATTGTGATATATTAACATTAAATCAAATGCAAATATGGATACAGGCATAAAAGTCACAGGGGAAGTAAGTTACTAATCTAAGATCAGGGAAAGAACAATAAATAAATTTCAGAATAGAATTTAAATATATATATATAAATATTCATATATATAAAAATACTACATCAATTCTTTGTCTACTCTCTGTAGTTAAAAACTTACTATCATGAATGAAAAATTTAGAAGATATTTTGATGACTTGCCATCTTTATCATTTTTATTACATTTGTCTTCCTCACTGAAATACAATTCAACTAATTTTCTCATTCAGTGAGGATAATTTTGCTTCCCAGAGACTTTCGGCAATGCCTAGAGATGCTTCTGGTTGTTATAACTGAGTCCTTTTCAAAAGTCAGATGTGGCCTGGAGCGGTGGCTCATGCCTGTAATCCCAGCACTTTGGGTGGCCAAGGTGAGCAGATCACCTGAGGTAAGGAGTTCGAAACCAGCCTGACCAACATGGTGAAACCCCATCTCTACCTAAAAATACAAAATCACCCGGGCATGGTGGGGTATGCTTGCAATCCCAGCTAGTCGGGAGGCTGAGGCAGGAGAATTGCTTGAACCAAGGAGGCAAAGTTGAGAGCCAAGATCGTGCCATTGCACTCCAGCCTGGGCAACAAGGGCAAAACTCCACCTCAAGAAAAAAAAAAAAAAGAAAAAAGAAAAGTCAGATGTATCTCTTCAACTACAGAAGGAAAAGGAGTCCTTTACTTCTTCATAGATTGTGTTCTTGAAACACACAAATAATCATAGACTCAAAAAGACAAATTCAAATAGTTTTCACTCCATAAGGATTGAAAAACAAATTAATATTCATCTGGCCTCTCCCACATCACTCTGTCCCCTTGTGCCTTGACACTAAGGTTTTTTAATTAAAGAGAAGGCCCAAGCCTCAAAGTAAAGGCAGGATTGGTCACATGGCATCTGTAGGACTGTAGCTTCAGACACATTTGTGTGGGAACATCAGCTGTGAGGTATGTGGCCAGTATTTTGTTACTTATTATTAAAGTACCAATGTCTTAAAATGTTTTACTTTGTCTTTGGGTGTTTTTGGTAAACTAGAGAGATTCAACCTCACTCTAATTCATTCGCATTCACATGATTTTTTCAAATGAACAAAATGCAGTGGAGTAAAAATAAATCTGCTAGAAATTACTCCTAATCCTAGGTGTTGGCATAAAAGTGTATGACATGAGACCCATTCATCTGAGAGTCCTACTGCCATTAAGGTGGTGGCTATGAGCTTTAACATACTTATTAATAAAAATACTAAGATCAAAATTGTATATGATTTTATAATTTAGAATTGACATATGCCAATAACTTTAAAATAGCACGTATTTATAGTTACAATAAATACTATTTAAAACAGGTTAAATTAGATTGAAAAGCTCAAAAGAAAGGCAAAATAAAATGTAACAGGATAACAGGATGATTATTCAAGATTTAATAACTTATCATTAAAATCAACTTACTGGGCCCACAACAATTGGTTTTACAGCATAAACACCAGGTGAAGGACAACGCAATTCTGTCACGGGGAATCTAGTGTTTAATGAGACGGGAAATAATAACTACAGGTGCATATAGATTAATAAAATTCCCTTACTATTTTTTAAGCCTAAAAACTTCAATCGTATGCTATTAAGAGACACTTTAAAATATTTGCAATATTTTACTTCTATACCATATTCAATGTGATTTTGTCTTACTTTTCACATCTCCTTAATGAAAGAAAATTTACATTAAATCACAGGCTTGAATCTGAATGTTCATATTATATGAATGATTTAAAAAATATACACATATTGATAATCATGGCATAAATCTTACCTTTTATCTATCACATTACAAGTTTCTGGCACACTCCACTCAGTAAATGATGTTCCATCATACTCTAACCCAATCTAAAAAAGAAAGTAAGAGTTCAAACAAAAAATATTATTCAAAATTTTCACCTCAGGACTCAGTTGTAGGATTCAATTTTCTGGGTCCTAATTATTTAAGGAAAAAATAAATAAAATTCAATTCCCCTTAAATTGTACAAAGTAATGTGACAAAGAAAAGGTAAATTAACCCACCTGGGAGACTTAAGCATTGTCACTCCAAAAAACTATAAACTTTTAATTTTATTTACTTCAGAAACAATCTATTAGCCAGGTGTGGTGCTCATGCCTGTAACCCCAGCACTGTGGGAGGCCGAGGCAGGTGGATCACCTGAGGTCAGGAGTTCGAGTCCAGCCTGGCCAACATGGTGAAACCCCGTCTCTACTAAAAACACAAAAATTATCTGGATGCGGTGGCAGGTGCCTGTAATCCTAGCTACTTGGGAGGCTGAGGCAGGAGAATTGCTTGAACCCGGGAGGTGGAGGTTGCAGTGAGCCAAAATCATGCCATTGCACTCCAGCCTGGGCGACAAGAGTGAAACTCCATCTCAAAAAAGAAAGAAAGAAAGAAAGAAAGAAAGAATATATTCAGTAAGCAGTGTCTGGGGATTATAAAAAAAGGCAAATGAGAAATGATCTTCACTTAAAAATAAGTCACTTTTAATTCTGACGTTCTATTATTTACATATTACTATTAACACAACTTTCATTGGGCACCTTTTTCTTATTTCTAAAGCTACTTTTTTTCCTGCCTCTCTATTGTTTCATTTAGAAATTCTTTCCTTCCCCTCTGGAATATACCAAGTCACTTTCTAACACTGTCAGTCTTAGTTTCAGCACTGATACTCCTCTTCAGCCAGAGTTGGAATCCAATTTTACCTTCTAATACTTGACACAAAATTATATGAACATAGATGAAGACTGCTTTGGTGTTTTAACTTGGAAAATGGAGATATAATGCCACCTGTTTCATAGATTTTATATTATAGGATAGTGTATAAAAAGAAAAAACAGAAAAATTCATGAGAAGATACAACATAACTTTGAAATATATTAAACAAAATTTGATGGAATTACTAGAAGAAATTTCAAAAGCCATAAATATAGTGGTAGATTTTTAACACACTTTTCTCACACTTGGGGAAAGAGGGAAAGGTAGTCAAAGACTTAAAAAATATAGTTAGTAAGTTTATGATATATATGTTAAAATGATATACATTCCTAAAAAGTTTTTCCCTTTTACTTTTTGTTTTAATAGAGACGGGATCTCACTATGTTGACCAGGCTTGTCTCAAACTCATGGCCTCAAGCAGTCCTCCTACTACAGCCTCCCAAAGTGCCAGGATTACAGGCATGAGCCATTGTACCCAGCCCCAAAATTAAGCAATAGAAAATGTATACATCATTTGCAAGCTCACATAGAACAATTACCAAAACTGACCACACTTCCAAGGAAAGTTTTAACCAATTTTAAAGAATTACTATCACATATACCATGTCCTTTGATATTAGTGAAATAAAATTAGAATTTCTCATAAAGTTAGCCAGAAAAAAATCCTAAGATATTTGGAGTCTTTAAAAAATAAAAGCAAAAACAAAACCTGTACTTCTGAATGATTCATAAGCAAAAATCATGATGTAAATTATTAAATGTTTATGAATAAACAGTAAAGGCATTTAATATTATTAAAAATTCGTGGTATGTAGTATAAGAAGTTTTTAGGCCAGACGTGGTGGCTCACACCTGTAATCTTAGCACTTTGGGAGACTGAGGCAGGTGGATCACTTGAGACCAGGAGTTTGAGACCAGCCTGGCCAACATGGTGAAATTCTGTCTCTACTGAAAATACAAAAATTAGCCAGGTATGGTGGCATGAGCCTGTAATCTCAGCTACTCAGGAGAATAAGTTAGGAGAATCGATTGAACCCAGGAGGCGGAGGTTGCAGTGAGCTGAGATTCCGCCACTGCACTCCAGCCTGGGGGACAGAGTGAGACTTCGTCTCAAAAAGAAAAATTAAAAAAAAAAAGAGAAAGAAAAAGAAAAGTTTCTAGAAGAAAATCTGTCACCTTAAATGTATACAAAAGAAATGACAATTTAAAAGTGAATAAGCTCTATTGATTGAGACGATAACAAAAGGACAACAGAGAAGGTCCCCCCAAATAAAAGGAAAGGTGTAAGAAAGAGTAAAAATAGAAATTTATAAAAGAAAACAAATGAAAGAGCATTGGGAAGGGGCGATGGCGATGCAGTTTGTTAAATCTATTTAAATTTCCTAATAAACACAGAAAGAACAATTAGGATAGTCCCCAAAAACACTGGACAACAATCAATAATAAAACTCAGCAACAAGGCATCTCTCAAATCCCAAAATATAAGTGGGTTGGAGGAAACCAACAAAAACTAGCAGATTTGTATGAGATCAGTATAAGGAAATGAAAGAAAGCCAGTAAGGTAAACCTGAGGAGACGAGAACCCCTAAATCAGTAACAGATGTTCAGTGAGGGCAATGGCAGGCCAATCTGAGGACAGCAACTCTAACTGAAGGGGATTCCGAACGTGGCAATTTCTAAAGTTCCATGCAAGAGGTGCCAATAATATCTGAAAGGACAGGTGAAGCTGGGCTCTATAAACTCCAAGCCAGGACCTGTCAACCACAGGACCAATCAGCCGAAGACGCCTTCTAGAACAAAGACCCAGAGTGAACAGAAACGCAGGTAGAAGAAATGCAATAGAGCAGGAAAGGGGAAGAAAGACAAAGGGAAGACAGATGAGGAAGGGAAACAGAACTTAAAAGCATTAACTTGATTCTTCTCCACTACAAAACAGCAGAAGTGGGAACACTGAAGCCGAGAGGTCAGAAAAGTTATTCTGACCCACTCCTCCCATCCGTAAAGATCGGGAACATTAATTTCATGTAGAAAAATGAGCAACAGAAAAAGGATCACAACCAAATCCCACACAGTCATAAGAAAGCGAATAAGAGGCAGAATAACATCTCTGTAAAAACACTGTTAAGACTTTCCCAAGAAACAAATGGAAACTATAACCTAATGTGAGGGTTAGTTTTATGTATCAACTTGGCTAGAACCTAGTACCCAGTTATTTAATCAAACACTAATCTGGGTATTGCTGTGAGGTATTCTGCAGAGGTGGTTTAAATCTACAATCAGCTAACTTTAAGTAAAGAAGGAGAATAAATACCCTCTGTCATGAGGGTGGGGCCTCAACCAATCAGCTGAAATCCTAAAGAGCAAAAACTGAGGTTTCCTGGATAAAAAGAAATTCTGTCTCATGATTGCAGCATTAACTCTTGCCTGAGTTTCTAGCCTGCTGGCCTGACCTAAAAATTTTATTAAAAAACATTTTTTTTCTTCTCCTCCCCCACCTCCCTGATCTAAAAATTTTAGACTTGCCAGACTCTCAATCACATGAGCCAATTTCTTTTTTTTTTATTTTTGAGATGGAGTTTCGCTCTTGTTACCCAGGCTGGAGTGCAATGGCGCGATCTCGGCTCACCGCAACCTCCGCCTCCTGGGTTCAGGCAATTCTCCTGCCTCAGCCTCCTGAGTAGCTGGGATTACAGGCACGCACTACCATGCCCAGCTAATTTTTTGTATTTTTAGTAGAGACGGGGTTTCACCACGTTGACCAGGATGGTCTGGATCTCTTGACCTCGTGATCCGCCCGCCTCGGCCTCCCACAGTGCTGGGATTACAGGCGTGAGCCACCGCGCCCGGCCCGAGCCAATTTCTTAAAATAAATATCTTTATATGTGTATATAATATATAGATATTTAATATGTATAAATTCTATTTGGTCTATTTCCCTGGAGAACTCAGATACATCTACTTATCAAAATGAGATAAAATAAATAAAAGTAAGATAGAAGTTATGGAAGAACAATATAAATCAGAATTTGAAACTCAAAAATGGGCCAGAACTCAGAAAAAAATTAGAATTAAAAGAAAAAGTCATTTCAATAATAAACTAAATTAGAAAAAACACATTGTGAATACAATAGATAAAGCCTTGAGGGAAATAGCAGGTTAAAAGAAGAAAAATTTTTCAAAATAAAAAAGGAAGAGACAGGGCCGAGTGGCTCATGCCTATAATTCTGGCACTTTGGGTGGCTGAGGCAGGAGGACCGCTTCAGCCCAGGAGTTCAAGATCAGCCTGGGCAACATAGGGAGACGCCTCTCTACAAAAAATTTAAATATTAGCTGGGTGTGGTGGCACACATCTGTAGTCCCAGCTACTGCAGCGGCTGAGGTGGGAGGATCACTTGAGTCCTGAGTCCAGGAGTTAAAGGCTGTAGTGAGCTGTGATTGCATCACTTCACTGTAGCCTTGGTGAGAGAGCGAGACCAAGATCTGGTCCAAAAAAAAAAAAAAAAAAAGAAGAGATTAAAAATGATTAAGTGATTTAAGCGTAAGCAACAAATATAAAAGATAGGGACAGAAAATCCAATATACATATATCTGGAGATCCTTAAGAAGAAAACCAAAATGTTTGGAACAGATCAATAACAGTAACTATAAATAAAGAATAATAATCTTCTTATAATATTCTATAATTAAATAAGAATACATAAAATTTAAAAACTGAAATGAACATAAGTGTAAGATAATTGAAAGTAGAATAAGATCATTGCCTGGTTGAATAAGGAATCAGGCAGTAAGCCAAGCGAGGTGGCTCATGCCTGTAATCCCAGCACTTTGGGAGGCTGGGGTGGACGATCACAACATAAGGAGTTCAAGACCAGCCTGGCCAACATGGCGAAATCCCGTCTTTACTAAATATAAAAAAACTAGCTGGGTGTGGTGACGGGCACCTGTAACTGTAATCCCAGCTACTCAGGAGGCTGAGGCAAGAGAATCGCTTGAACCTGGGAGTCAGAGGTTGCAGTGAGCCAAGATTGCGCCATTGTACTCCAGTCTGGGCGACAGAGTGGGACTCCGGCAAAAAAAAAAAAAAAAAAAAAAAAGAAAGAAAGAAAGAAAAGAAACCAGGCAGTAAACG